ATTCTATATCAGTGCAGTTTTTAAGAACTCCTACTGGGTTTTGCCGCTCTGAAGTCACCCTACTGTTATCGAGCAACGGTCTGCAGAACAGCAAGAGAGAACCAAAAACTTTTGGGGCTGCAGAATCAGAAGTGTATTGCAGCAGTGCTGATATATACCTACCATTTATTTTCTTACATCCACTGGCCTCAAAAAAGTCCACCATAAACAATATTTTGCAAGCATTTTCGTAGAAGTGTTAGCACTAAAAATTACCACAAATTAAGAAGGCCCCTTGAATAGCACAGAAGAGACCAAATAAGTGTGAAATGGAGTTTCATCATATAGTCATCCCCATTTAGGTCTCAAGAAACAGAGTGTTCCCTTTTTAGCTTTGGAAAATGAGGCATTTGGCAGGCAAAGAGAATTTGGATATTCAGCTCAAAGTTTTCCTTGTTTTTATTCCCAGGTATCTCTAGTCATTTATTTTACTCTATTATAACAAGAAGTTGAGTGTGGTGGAAACATCAAGAGAATATTTCCAAAAGGAAAATGTCCCTCCAGATACAAGTCTTCAATGCACATGAGCATTTATTTGCCAGATGTTTGTTCTGCACCTCACAACCTCTTAATTTACACACATACACTTCACCTCAACAACAAAACACAGCTCAAACCCATGTGTATGAGCCTTTCACACTCACTCCCAGAGTAATCGCCTGCACAACCTACAGGGAAGTGACTACCAAGTGCAGGCTCCATTGTCTCCTTTCTCCAGACTAGCTCTTCAGCAGCATAAATGGTCATATCCTCAGATGGAAACATCTCTTGGTGAGCTTTGGAGACTCAGTGCCAGCTACAGGTGGCTTCAGTGCCAGCAAGCTTTAGTGAAGGTAAAAGGGCACTTCAAAGCTGAGTCCCACCACTGTGTACTGCAACATAATTTCATAGGTACTGGCGATGTCAAAACACCCTTCGTATCCTCCTGTCTGAAGACAACAAGGACAGAGCAGCTTTTCACAGTTGTTTGGTCTTCACACAAAACCAACCAGCAGTTGTCTGAAATATTTATACACAAAAAGTTTTAACTTTCGGTTTACCCGGTCCTGGCTTGTCCTAGAATAGATTAACGTCAAGCTGCAAAGTTGTTACTCTGGCCCTGCAGATTCAGCGAGTTTCCTTTGGCTTCCTCAGCAAAGCTGTGGCAAAAACAAAACGTGAATTGACCACCATTATCTGTGCCAACAGCCCCACCAAGTGGCCACGCACACAGAGATCTCCTCTGCCAGTTCATCCTATAACCAAAGCAGAAACATCTCACAATACAAAACTTGCTCACCTGACCCAGCCCTACTCACTTTGCCCAAAGCCTAACAGAAAAAGGGCTTCTGAGACAAAGTTCTGAAGATCGGTCTGGCAAGACTGAAGTAAAACATGGGAGTGAAAAAAAAGAGGCTTCCTGCACAAGGAAAGAAGCAGCAAGACATACAAGCAGGGGAAAAGGTATCACAGCCTCTTAAAATTGTATTCGTGTTCATATAATGTGCCAAGCCATAAATGAACTTGCCCACCTGTCTTACCCATTACTACTTTTGCTACTTGCAAAGATACCAAAGTTGGTTTAAATTCTTCAAAAAACTGGAACAAAGCCCTGTTCCCCGTGAGGCAACGTATCCTTGTGGGTAGCAGACACTTACCTTCCTTTTTAATAGTTTATGGAGTGGAGTCTGTGCAAAAGAAACATACTCACAAATAACAAAGTTCAGGCTGTGCTCTCCATATGTATCTTCTGGATGTTTGCATGTCTGAGCTTGTAAGAGGAGGTATTTTCATATTCTACTCACTTCCTCCTATATACACTTTTTTTAATTCTAAGCTAAAACCATTCAGCTTTAAGGAAGGAGGTTTGGGGACAGGCTATGGACAAGGTGATGGACAATCCATCTTAAGCTTCCTGCTCCTTAAAAGTGACCTTCTGAGTGGTAACCTATATTCACACTAACCTTCTGGGTGATCTAAGCTACTGCCTGATCTACACAGGTTCCATAAAGAAAAGCTTTAAAAAGACTGAGACCATACTAAATCAGAGGGCAAAACAAGCGCATGAGCTCTGCTCTATTAATTTGAATTGGCATCAAAGTTAGCTGGTTACTCAAGCATACAAGCAGAGGTGTACAGTCAAGTTTACAAGGTATTTATTCAATGATGGAGTAGATGCTGAGTCTCCCACCTAGGTTAACATGCTCAGATCAGGGCTACATCCTGCCCTGGTTTCCTAAAGATTGCCCAACTTAACTGCAGCCCAAATAGCACAATGCAAATTTGCTACAAGCTTTGTATAGTACACCAAATACTAAAGTACACCTAAAAAAAAACCCCAAACACATTTAGACAGTGTTATGCCAAGCTGTATAGCAGCTACTGACAGCCAATTATTCTCACAGGTAGACCACAGGGAAGGCTGTGAAGGTCTCATTCCACTAACTCTAGCCTGGCTATTCTTTTCTATCAGCTTCATGTCCATCTATAATTTGCTTATTTCACACATCTCAAAATTAAGGAGTTCTGGAAGGTGTCCCTGCTGATGGCAGGGGGGTTGGAACTAGATGATCTTTAAGGTCCCTTCCAACCCAAACCATTCTATGATACTATGATTTTATATAGGCCTTGGCAGAGGGCCCCCAGGCATTTAGACAGAGGTACTAACAAAAACAAACAAAAAAAAAAAAACAAAAACCACAGAAACAAAATTTTGAATAACACTGCCCTCTTGAGAGAAATTGAGCTGTATCACCTTAGCAAAGCTCTCCTCCTTTCACTGGTACTCAGGTCACAGTAAAACTCCCCCCACTGCCTTGCCATATGGTTCAAGATGAGTAGAAGTACTTGAAAAGCAGCAGTAGACCCACACCTAGGAATCAATTATCTTTAGATAAAATACAGCTTTGGTTATGGTTTATTTATAGGTATTTTAGGTACAAGCAAACAGGCCACTCTGAAGGCACAAGATCTTATTGGAAATACATAAATCTATCCCTGGAAATCAAAAGTTTTGTTTCTTCTTGAATTGCAGCTTTTTATTTTATCCAATAGCTGGTGTTGCAAAACCCAAGAGCAGGAACCAGAATTCAGCATTTTATTTGTCCTGCAAATTTCTAATAACTGGGCTACACAAGCATGATCTCTCTAGCCTAAGGATCTTGATCTTTATATGCAGTTTCCTGAAGGACAGCAAGATTATCCCATCAAAATCATCTGCTGGCTGGAATAATCCCTTGTAGTATCTATTTGAATCTTTTGGGAATCTCTTTCCCAAGAGCTGCTGTAACATCCAGGCTGTGGAGCACAACCTCTAACTAGTCTTTATGAGAAAGTAGATATTACTATTACATTTATAGACTACTGAGTCACATAAGTTCACTTTGAATCTTTATAGCAACACACACACACACAAAAAAAAAGATATGCCACACCCCCAAATTCTCAGAGAAGTTAGAAGGAGGAACTCTTGGCTTCTAGTATCTTGTCAAGCTGGGATATAGGCCAGACTGACATGAGAAGCAGAGATATTTCATGAATGCTGAGGGAAAACTCTACAAAAGCCTTACCATATCTCTTCAAGAGTTTCATAGTATTGTAAGTCTGGAAAAACCTAACAATTGTCACACAGTTTTGCACAGACACCATGTTCATTACCAAGAACTGCCAATGAGAAGCAACATCTTCCCATAGATAGTATCTGTGTCACACTAGAACTCATGTTATGGCACAGGGAGTGGAGCACACCTGCACATGAAGAACACAATGCTTTAACACACAGCACACAAGGAGAGATTCATTAAAAAACTCAGTTCCAAAGCACAATATCCAAAACATCACTAGTTATTCCATGTGTGGCCTAGGACATGGAATCCATTAAGAATTTTTCTGTGCCTTGCATGTACTTAACATGTTTAGTTCTTGGAAAAGAATCAACTACCTCAGCAGTTAAATTTTGCTAATGTGTACTCCAGATGCTGCTGCACAACTTGCAGGACTGTTGAGATGAAGAGTACACTCACTTAAAAACATGAAGTTGTCACACTACACACCTCAGGTGGAAATGGGATAACTGTATGAGAAGCTTTGTACTAGGTTAAAATTTGCAGATTAACACAGACTTTCCTCAAAATGTCTCACATGCTCCAATGGAAGGAAAAAAAAAAACCTCAAAGCAAAACATTAGAATGGTTTCACACCTCAGTAGGAGCTTTAAAAGGAACAGCAGGTGATCATTGCTAACTGACTTGCTAGCATCTCTAGCAAGGTGAATAAGAGAACTTGAACAATTAAATAAAACCAGAAAGGTATTATCTATACAGGCTTGAATTCTCCTTTCATTATAGAAAACTTCTAGTAGTACACATTCCTACAAGTGTATCAACCAAAATGTTTAAATTGCCAAAGCGGTTGGGAGAGCAGGGAGGGAAAAGACATCAGAAAAATAGCATTCAGTGGCAAACTGAATGCCATCACAAGTTAAGGTACAAAACACTCATCTATTTTTTTTTCTTTTTTAAATAAGACTAAGCACCCAAACACAGACTTTCTAATAAAAATAGATGAGGGTTCAACACCCCACAGAGCAGAAACACTGAGTTCAAGTGTCTAGAAGTACTGTACTGTTAATTAAATGAGACTCCTCAGTGTTTACACTCACCGATATTCATTATGAGAATAAGTTGGCACTTACATGGATGCTACTGCTCCATCAGGATTTAATCTTAATTGAGTAATGGTAGCAGAATATCACCTGTTACTGACTTATCTTGAACAGTGTGTCCATTCCAGCCAGACCAAAGTGCCAGGTCTTCCCAGGTCAAAGTTTGCAGAGCATTTTCTAAAAAAAGCAGGATTCTGTCTAAGTGTCAAGCAATTTGGTGTTAGCAAGACTTGTGTTATTACCACTAAAATCACATACTGGCTGAAACAACGCAAACAGTCTAAAACAAGTGTTTTCTTATCCATATTAGCAAGCTCATGACATCAGGATCTGTCTAGAAAGTTAAATGTGTTCCGAGATTGTTTTTGAGAAAGTTAGCTTTTGCCTGGAATAATTATCCATCCCATACAAAGCACAAGCTCTTGAGTTCAGATATGGTGACAAACATAATGAAAGTGGAATACAAATGAAGACAGGTCTAAGAACTAGTTCCAGGAGTCTGAACTCTAAACAGTCCCTTCTTCAGTTCAGCAATTTTATCTTCGCTTGCGGCTGCATAACTCTTTGCTATCTCAATGAGAGATTCATGACGCTTCTCCAACGCGGCCTTCAGACTCAGGTATATTTCCTACAAAGAAGAGATAAGAAGAAAAAAAGAAAACAACACAAGAAAACATCAGCAAAATTAACATTTATGCTTTATAGGGATAAGTGAGAGTGGTCTGGTGGTCTCATGTTATTTCAAAGGTACCTTGTCCCTGGCTTAAGAAGCAGTATTCACAGGAACACAGGAAAGTTACAAAACATTAGAAGAATAAAAACAACTACACACAAAATCCCAATATTATGATTCTGTTGTAACTCTAGTGGTCACAAAACACCAGCACCATCCCAGTATTCACACTACTACTGCCGCATTCTGTCTCTGCCACTGGGACTGCTACCTATTGTCTTCCCAGCATGGACAGTACTTCAGTAATGAACAGATAGGATGAGATGCTACAGGCAGGCTGTAATTCCCTACTCCCAGCCCATCAGAATTTCTGCCTCTTTCCAAAGCTGAGCTACATAGTCATCTTCCTGAAACCTTACTAAGAAAGGGTTTGTGACATTGCAAGTGGTCCTGTGTTTGAGGAAGACTGAGAAGATTACTGTACTGACCATCAATAAAACATGAATGTAAAGCCTCACAGGTCAAGTCCCAGGAGACAAACAAAAAAAAAGAAAAAAATTTTGGTTGCTTAAAGCTGGCAAGTACCATGACACAAAAACAGACATCACGGAACCAGCACAATAGCTGCTACAGGCACAGGTGGGAAGACAAGTTTAAATTCACCTCCCAAAATTCTTGGCAATCACACCATTCCAGAGTCTGTTCCCTCAGGCCTGCAAAGCCCACTTCTCTGGGCCATCTACAGCCTGCAGAGACAAGCATAAGCCCTAACATCCCAGTGGAACCACAACCAGGAAGAGCTCTCCCTCCCACTACCCACCCAAACCACCACCTGCACAGCCTACTTGTTTTTAGGGCTAATAAGTGCTCCTTTATCTACACATCTCGAGTTAAAAATCAGTTTTGAGAATGCCAAATAGGATTCCTTTAGGAGAAAACCTCACCTTGGTTTTCATTCCTTCTTTTTCAGCATCCTCATTCAGCTGCTGAATTTTGAACCTTGTTTGTTGGATTTCCTTGTGAATGGCTGTCACTTTATCATATACAGCACCCCTCTTCTCCTGAACTCTGTTACAATATCTAAATGTGGGAGAAAAAAGTTAGTACTGAGCTATTTGACTAATTCCAGATTAAACTTAACCCCACCACAAGCAAAGCTTGCATTTTATGAGCATGAAGCAATGCTGTATGGAATTTACTTGCTTGGAAGTTTGTCCAATTCTTAAACTAGAACTTAGGCACAAGAAGTTAAATTCAAAGTGGAGCTTAGAGGAGTATGTTGAAGAACCTGAGGTGCTGTCAATCAAGGCAATTCAAGTGACTCCAGTGGAACCAACCCAACAGACAGCCGGACACTGCACCTTCTGCCTTTGAGAAATGCAGTACAGGTGTCAGTGGAGAGCCCTGCCTGAAGGCCAGCCACTGGACCAGGTTAAAAGCAATACAGCTGCACTTGATACTTCAGAATAATTGAAAGTCACACGTTTTTCTTAGCTTCAAACCCCCTCCCACCAAGACAGAGCTCTAATCCCATCCATCTACATAAGTTATCTGCAACTGCCAGTCCATCATTTCACTGCATCTCAACCAAAGACCAAATATTTTCCCAGCTTGCAGGTAAATTCAGATAGCTCCAGCTGTGAGATGCCACATAACACGCAAAGGGTTAGTGTGTGAACAGATCTACTCTGACTTCAATTGAAAAAACACACCTACCAGTTTACATGAAGCATTTGTACAATAATTACAGCTGGAACTGTAGCAGCTGCTGTCTCTGAAGAATGGCTGAAATCGCTCATACTTAGCAAGAGCTTACTTCCTACCTCAAGGGAACAGTCAGGACACATTTTCTTATTCACCAGCAAAAATTCCTGTTTTCAAATCAGGGCTACCTACCTTCCACTCTTGCCTATCAAAGCATCTAATTTTGTCACTCAAGGAAAATATCTAACACATTAAAGCTAGATAAACCAGCAGAAACTTTTAATATAAAGGAGCATTAGATTATATTATTTGTGTTCTTTATTTGGAAGGAAAAGTAGCTTTTCATTAATCTCCTTTAGCTGGTACAACACACTAAATGAGGAGCAAAGGAAGTCTGGGAATCTTGCTGCCATTCTACACACCACACAAACCTTATCAGCATGACTAAATCCTAGTTGACTCTCTCAGCTATGTGGGGGAAAAAAAAAAAAGCTCTTTTCCATCATAGTTAACCTAGCCAGCCAATAATTTTCTATATTCCCTTTCCTATCCATGTACAAAAAGAAAATTGTTATATAATAAGCTTTCTTTACAAGAGTTTAGCACTTCTAATCTCGCAGTGAAACCACAACCTTACAACACTGCAGTTTGCTGCTGCAGAAGCGACTGCTGTGCTGTAAACACTGCCTTGCATCTTGCCTTCAGCATACAGTAGCAAGGAAGATGGGCTAAGAGGCTTTGATCAAATGACACTTTTCCTTTTGTTTTAGAAGCATCATGTCAGGATAATACTCCTCTGAGATATGAGCCCCATTTCCCCATGGGTCTTGAACATCTTTGATAATGAGCAAAAGTGGCAAGGGAAATTATGAAAAATTCATGAAAGGCAAATGGGGCTTTGTTGAAGTCTGATAAGTTGGAAAATTATCCCAATGTGACATTCTCTTTAAGAAGATAAAAGAATCAAGAATAAGCATTATAAATTAAATTAGCGCTCCAATAAAAGAACTGCTGTCAAGTCACATTGCAATTATTGATTTGAGACCCCAAGTCCCTGCCTGCAGCATTACTGGTCTTCATATAAAGCTATCCCACATCGCTCATTTTCTTCTTACTGCTAAGCTACATATTTGTACCAGACACAAACTTTGGTAGCACATAACGAAGACATAAAGTAGCATCAGGCAGAAATGTCAACTCATCCATACTCAAATACAGTGTGCTTATATTGCTCAACATCTTCACGCTTCTTTGTTATCCTGATTTCAGCTGTAGACAGCTTCTCATGTTTTGCAGTGACCAATCTCTTTAAGGGCATTTCATCCGTCTTCCCCTTTTTCAGCTCAATCTGAGCGCTCTCGAGTTGGTCCTCCAGATTTCTCACCTGGAGTACATAAGAAGTATTCAAATAAGTTGGGGGTTAATAAACAAAAAAAAGTAATAATTGAAACAACATAGCCTGCTAGTTTACTGATTAGAACTAACCTCCTGCTTTTTGAAGATTTGATTGCTAACACTCTCCCAGTTAAATTCTAGTTCCCCAGTCTTTATCTGATTCTATATACATCCAAATGGGCAAGAACCCATCGCATAGATGATTTTTCAGGAGTTACTATGAGTTCTGCTATAGCTCTTGGCCAAGGCTAATTTGAACATATCCTATACAAATACCCCAAAAAACTGCATAGCATTTTTCAAATACTCTTAACAATTGCATTCTCCCAAAACCAAGTAGCAAATAGCAAGGTATTGTATTGTGACAAACGTTTCATCGGGGAAAGGCTAGCTTAGTAATAGAGTTAAAGGCACATAAGACATGATTCTTCCTGAAGTAGCAATTTTTTGCTCTTCATTTCTGCTCTCTAGCCAGAAGAAACTGGTTCTCACTTTTCTTCTTCCATCATTTCCTACCAACAACCCCAAGACAGTTCAAACTATTTTAGGTCAGGTTTCTATGGCAACAAAGGCTTTGACTATTAAAAGTGGTCAATAGTACATTAGCTAGTGGCAGGTAGCAAAACAGCAGCTATGTTTTACTGATGTTTTCAAGGATAAGATTTTGAAGTTATCCAAATTCTTTCTCTTTGGGGAAAAAGGAGAGATAGGAACTTTCAAAATACAGACATTTACTGATGATTGCCTCTCTTGTTTAGACTTTAAGTTCTCCCTAACCAGATATAATTTGGATAATACAAACCTCTGACAATACACTGGCCAGTCTCTCCACATTTGCTCCCTGTCTTTCCATTTTCTTTTGATATAACTGCACCTCTAGTTGGCATGATGGCAGAACCTCAACTAGGTCTCTATAACCTTCATATTTCTCAATAAGTTCTTGCTATAAAAAGAAAAATACTATTAATAAACAGCTTTGGAGTTGAGCAGTTACTTTGTAAAGTATTAATGCATATTGACTTCTGGATGCATTCCCTCATTGCTAAACATACACTGGAATTGGTATTACTAGTTACTGAAATTAGATCTTCAGTTAGTAAAAAAACAAAAAAAATTCTATGGAAAGCACAGGAAAAGTGACATGCAAGTGTTTGACACTGAACTAAGTAGCTTGTTATAAGAGCTTTCAGTACAGAAAAAAAGCCACACAGTGAAAAAATTCTATTCTGATAAACCAGGAATTATGTAAAGCATGACTGGAATTACAGCAATAAAGTTTACATCTTTGGAAATGAAATACCCAGGGAGACAAAGTTATGCAAGCTTCACTGATACATATGACCAATCAGGAACTACAAACATGTAAAGACTGGACATTACTATTAAAAACCCAAAAAGCTAGGATGGGAACTTAAGTGTTCAGCATACTAGTGGAGACAAGCATCAATTCCAGAATCAGTGAATGGTAACAGAGACACTATGAAGTATGTGTTCTAAATCCAAGGACATCTGTGAGGTGACAAAATATTGTCATCTCTTGAGAGCAAAGAGTCAAAAAGGTATAGTATAGATTCAAGAGTTCTACACCTAGTTTCACAAACAAACAGTTACTCATCAAGGACAAAGCAGCTTTCTGTCTGACTGCAATCCTGCTTTAAAAAAAACAAAAAAAAACCCAAAAAACCACACCCCCACAACCAACCTTCATTTTTATCTGAAGCTGTGATTTCATTTCAGACTAACCATTGATTTTTGACCAGAAGCACAAGTCATTTAAGAAGCAGTTCTACATGACAGTTCAGTAAAATGTGCTGTTTCTAACAGAACATCTCATTGTACAGACAGAGGAAAACCCCACCTTGGATTTCTTCAGTTTCTTAACAGTCTCTTTCATCAGTTCTTTGTAATTTTTCAGTTCCTCTGGACTCTCCACAATTTTTGATTTCAGCTCCTCTTGTTCTTCTTTCAAAGTAGCCATTGTCACTTTAAGCTCATTCTAGTTAACATGACAAACACACTTTCAATATTAGCAATTAGGTGAACAAAGAGGAATTGTGAAGCATGGTTTGCTGGAATCTTATGACTAGACAGGTTCTTTTCTCTGTTTTAAGTCATTCCTTATTACAAAGTTTGTTTTAAAAATAAATTCCTCTGAACAGCACTAACATTCCCAATCAAAGCAGCTAATAGTCCATTTTGCTCCCTGAACATGCTTGCAGGGGTGCAATACTGAGTCACAAGAACAGCATTTAACAAAAAAAGCCTGCCAGCTAATCCATATTACCAGCAGCTTTCTCCTTCAGAACCCTTCACCTAGGGCAACCCAGGCAGTCACTGCAGGGTTTCAGAACCAGCTGTATCAACCTGGTAGAAAAACAACAAGCTTCCTGTGCAACCTCTCAAAAACCTCCCATTTTGTCCCCACCAGGTCAGTGGTTGCCTCATCATTAGCCATTCTATGCACTTAAGGTAAGCCCATAGCATCTTAGAAGTCCAGATTTCTTGTCCTTTAACAGATCAGCTTCCTGAACACTGACAGAGCTTTATATTGCAGAGCCGTTTATTTAAAATTAACAACAAAACAAGCTCCTGCAGTAAAGCTTCCATCGAGGGGAAAAAAATGAAGCCAAAGCAGTTTGTTTTTTTTTTAAAAAAAAAAATCATTCATCACCACCTGAATGTTACCTAGCTCCAAGAATAATTTGATCCTAGAAGGGAGATGATCTATTAGTTGATCTTACACCTACACAGAGGTGTACTTACCAGTTTTCGGGTGCTCTCTGCAATACCTGACTTCTTTTGTGAAATCACTTCTTGTAAAGCTGTCTAAAAAAAAAAAAAGCAACAAACTTTAAACAAGCATCTCTACAACTGCTACCTCCTTTAATCTTCTTATCGTAGATCTGTTTACAGCAGGAACCCCATTTATGGTTTCTAAAACTAGCAGTGAAAATGGCAATCTAAGATTTAAAAGAGAGGGAAGGAGAACATCGTCGGAAAAGCCGCTGGGAGCACGAGGGATGCAGCCAGCAGCAGGTAACTAGGAAAAGGGATAAGAGACAGATTATCTCTATTCTTACTGACCCTGGCAACATTATACACACACAACCTTCTTTGCCAGAGGTGCTGTTCTTGGGGGAAAAAACAAAAAAAAACCCCCAAAACACCTCAATTATACAAGGTCCCCATTAATACAGAAGTCAAGCACATGGTTAATAATATTAATAATAGAAGACATGACTTAACAAAAATACCCTAACCATAGATTTTTGATTTTATTTTTTTTTCCTCAAAGCAGCTGAAAAGGTTGCCTATAAAACCTTAGGGGCAAGTTGCCATTGCTGGAAAGTTACCCCTGCAATCAACCCTACTCTTTTTGACAGGCATTCCTTAGGGTGACCCTTCTTAGGCTTCATTTCCTGCTGTGGCTCACTTCCAGTTCCAAGTCTTCAAATTCAGGTGGAAAACAAAGTGAAACAGACACATCACACCCCTGAATAATAACACAGGTACCTCCCAAGTCAGTGCAATAATGCATTTTGGAAAGAAAGAGCCAAATACAATATTTTTTGTATTCCCTAAGACTGATTTTAAGTACGTTTCATATTCCTTACAGTGAAATGAAGACATTGTGGTGCAGTGACCTTTGTTTTAAAACAGAAAGGTTCCCTTTATCCTTTGTAGAAGTAAAGGAAGAGGAACAAAATCAACAGAAATAAGGAACATCCAAGATCAGAAGCCATCTCAGCATTTCAGAGAAATATATAACAAGATCATACTTGCTTCCGACGATAATCTTGCCTTAGCAGTTGCTCCAGTTCTCGAATGTTATCTGTCAGTTGCTTGACCTCTGCTTGATGTTCAACTGGAACGGTGCTAAGCAAATAATAAAGATATTGGTCACTTTCACCACCATTATAACCAGGTCAGAGTACAGTAGATAAGAGTCACTCTCTCCGAAGAGTTTATAACCAGTAACTTTAATAATTAGTGCAAGGCAGCCTCAAATTAATACATCTTAATTTCCTTTGCTTGTAATATTTTTGTAGTTAAAGCACAATCTAAAGACCTATTTTGGCATAGCACAAGCATAACCAAGGACTAAGTTTAAAGATCATGTTAAGCAAAGCATGAAAGAACAATACTTTACCATTTTTGTGGTGATTTTCTTTTATGATATTTGCATAATATTATCTGCCATAGAAACAGCTTGTATTAGGGTAGACCTGTATCTACATAGAGAACCTCCTGTCTAGCACATAACAAGAGCAGCTATCAGAGAAAAGAAAAAAAACTATGTTTTGAAAGCTCTCTTGGAAACTAGCCACCTCTTCATCCTATTAGCCACAAGCAAAAAAGAAACTTCATGGTACAAAGACACAGGCAGTGGAACTAAACGGCCTGAAACAGGATGGGACAAACATGTCAAACAACTAAGGAAGACAACTTTACCCATTTTTAAGTTAAAGAATCATAGAATCTTAGAATGGTTAGGATTGGAAGGGACCTTAAAGCTCATCCAGTTCCAACCCCCCTGCCATCAGCAGGGACACCTTCCACTAGACCAGGTTGCTCAAAGCCTCATCCAGCCTGGCCTTCAACACTTCCAGGGAGGGGGCATCCACAACTTCCTTGGGCAACCTGTTCCAGTGTCTCACCACCCTCACAGTGAAGAACTTCTCTCTGGGCTTCCTACAGCCATTGGAAAGCTAGAGACACATCACTAAAAACTAACTAGAATAGCAAAAAGCTTCACCATAGTCCCCAACATACAAAATACAGTATCATCTCAAGCAAACGTATACTCCCAAAGGCACATTTTTATTTTCTGCCAGCAACTCTGTTGAATCTCATACAATTGTCCTCAGCCCATCAGTCCAGCCCGTCCAGATCATAAGCACTGAACAGGAAAGTCAAGTAGTACATGTCACAGTGCTTACTCCTCACACTCACTTCAGTTTCTCCAGCTTCAATGCTGCCTCATGATTTGCAGTCTCTAGTTGTTGGTGTTTCTCCATAGCTGATTTCTGAAAATCAAATATTCAGAGATATTTATTTTAGAAGAATTTGGCTTCTCTCTGGCCTTCTATTAGAGCCCTGCTCATCATTATTTAATATGAAATGCACCATCTCTGAACTACAAGAGATATTCAGAAGAAAGGCCATCTACAATTCCAGCTTCAGCCCACTGATTGTTAGATCTATCTTTTCTCAAAAAGATGAGAAACTTTCACTTGCCAAGCTAAGCTATCAAATAAGTTACTGGGAAAAAAAACTTCAGATAACAGCCTAAGTAATAACTTGGTCATGGTCATACAGAAACCTTTACAGCATGGGCAAGCTGATCTGTTATTCTAAACTGACATGTTTCCTTAGGGGTTTTGCAAAGGTTTTTCTTAAAACGTGTCTTTCTTATAACATACACTATAGTGGTACAAGTTTTACATAATGTTCAACTGGTACCTTCCTTGTATTACTTGGCTACATTTAAGATTCCAATGTATTATTTAAACGTGCAGTTGAAACCCCACAACCTTTACGCTCCCAGTTCTAGGTTAACATTAATTACACTTAAGTAGGTATCCGGAGTAACGTGGCACCCAGTCTTACATAGTTCAGTTGTAACCTCAAGTAGGCTTCACGCCGCGTTTCTCTGAAGTTTACAAAGTTGAGAATGCCACTCAAGAAGCGAGCTGTCCTCTTTGTTTCTGCAATAGGAATGAATTACAAGCCATCACTATTCTGGTTTCCACATGCATTGCAATCACATAGAAAAAGTTGGGCAAAATAGAATTTAAAGAAAAGATAGAAGTTGCAAAAAACAGAATCGAAATTAGTTCTTCCCCTGCTCACTTTGCAAAGTTTTCACAGAACTACACAAAAAACTAGCAACAAGCTATGAATTTACCATGTCTTAGCAATTCTATGCAGTTTAACAGAGCAAAAAGTCACCTAGGAGAAAAACATACAGCCTTCCACTAAACCAGTAGTCAGGGAGAAAGAGCGTGAATCTCAACTACAGCTCTGCAGACAGAAGCTCACTGAAGCTATCAGGATAACTGAAGACAGCAGTTTGAACTGCAGGGACTTTTTGGCTCTATTCCAAGCAAAGGTTGTAAAAGATGATTACAAAGGCCTCGAATGGCTTAGACAAGAGCCTAAGAAAGAGTTCCTCAGAAGAGCCTTTCCTAAGTAGTCT